TCTTGAGTACATCGATGAGACTTGGAAACAAAATCCAATATTGCCTTCTGATCCTTACAAAAAAGCATTGGCACGTTTCTGGTCTAAATTCATTGACGACAAGGTAATTATTATCTTTTTTTTATACATAAATATTAGATACGATGTCGATACTGACACATTCACACCAATAATAATTTAAAAAATAAATCAGTTATCGATCTTGTGTTACATACTTATTTTAAGGTGTTGGTGTTTTAGAGTTTTTTTTTAATCTTTCTCTTTACTTTTAACATTTATTTATTTAATATTATTATCTTAATTTGTGTGTTCAGTCTTTAAACGCCTTAAAAAAAGTTATTTACACTATTGATGAGAAAGAACGACAGAAAGGTGCTGAAGAAATAGACGAGGCTCTTCATCATCTTGAGAATGAGCTGAAGGATAAATTCTTTGGTGGAGAAGAGATTGGAATTGTTGATATTACTGCTGTCGTCATAGCTTACTGGCTTCCTATTATACAAGAAGCATTTGGAGTGAAGTTGTTCACTAGTGACAAATTTCCCAAGCTTTACAATTGGAGCCAAGACTTCAACAATCACCCTATTGTTAAGGAATTATTGCCTCCTAGAGAAACCCTTTTGGCCTTTTACAAAGGTGTTTATGAAAGTATTATTGCTTCAAAATAGATTAATTTTCAAGGGGATATGTACCCTAGGGATTTAAGGAGAAATATCTAAATAACTTGTTTGATGTTTTTGTTTTTGTTTGAAATTTTATTATCCAATATGTCTATGTAACCTAAGATTCTCCTTGTCAAATAAAATCTATGATTTTGTCCTGTTTATAATCTTTCAGTTAATGAAGAATATTTAGGTATAATTTCATAGGCGTGGTTTATATTTTTTTCTAATAAAAATATGATAAATATATTTAAATATTTTTTAAGAAGTAAAATAAAAAGAAATTATATATATATATATATATATATATATTATATATATATATATATATATATATATATATATGAGGAAAATTATACACTTATCATATTTTCATTGAAAAAAAAACATAAATTACATCTAAAAAAATGCACCTAAATTTTTTCCTTAGTTAATAATATTAACAATATATATTCTCATAAAAAACAATTGGTCTTATTTATAACAAAATTGATTTCATTTATATATATTAGATCGTCGGTCCGTGCTTCGCACGGATATATTAGAAATAAATATTCATTTTTTTTTATAATAGTTGATATTTAATTTTTTATTTATATATAAAATTATTTTATATTTTTTTAGATTATGTTTGAAAAAAATAAAAATAAATTTTAAAATTAAAAATACTAAAAAATATCTCATGAGTAATTCGAACTTTCCAATTATTAATCAAATCTTTGATTGTGGAAGACTCTAACCTACACTTAATTTTGAACAGTTGAATTTAATCACCTTAGTAGACACAATGTTATTTGTTTGTAGTATGATAAATAAATAAAATGAAATAAAAATTACAATACAAAATAAAAAGTATGTACCATATAAGAGGTGATATAAAATAAAAAAAAATATAAGTATCGTATAAGAGATGTTAGGAGCAAGAGCAAAGATGAAGACCTACAACCAAATTATATACTACAACTATGTAAAATCCATACACTAATTATGTATTTATATATGTGATCATAATTATTAATAGGACAATAAATTTTATTAAAAGTTGTAAATCATAACTTTATTAATTAAAAGCAGTTGTTAATTAATATTATTTGTATTGAGTGATAAAATAATTAAGAAATTGAAAAAGAAATATAGTAAGTTGTTTAATAAAGCATAATAATAATTATTAACATTTTTTTAATGTTTGTATTTAAAAAATAACAACATAATTATTCATATCCTTATATAATAATAATAATAATAATAATAATAATAATAATAATAATAATAATAATAATAATAATAATAATAATAATAATAATAATAATAACAATAATAATAATAATACAAGATAGTAGAACAACTGGGGCAGACACCTTCAAAAATATTTATGTTGTCTTTGTTGTTGGTGCTCCGAAGCACATGCTTAAGCTCTGCTAAAATTCCTGAAAAATGCACATGTCCCACAAGAAACTACCACTGACCAATTTGAAAACTGTGTAGCAAGCTTGATTGCTGACAATGGTTTAGGCTTTTCAGACGCAGATTTGACTCCGGCGGGGAAGAATCACAATAAAGCTCTACATGTTTTCATTGAGTGTAAAGGCACCACCTTAGCACATGTGTTAATGGATACAGGGTCCTCCCTCAATGTTTTACCAAAAGGTGTTTTGGACAAATTGGACTGTGAAGGGTTGGTGCTGAAACCCAGTGATATTGTGGTGAGAGCCTTTGACGGGTCAAAGAGAATGGTCCATGGAGAGGTTGATCTTCCTATCAAGGTTGGATCTCAAGTCTCCAACTCAACATTCTATGTAATGGATATTCGTCCAGCCTATTTTTGCCTGCTTAGATGCCCATGGATTCATGGGGAAGATGCGGTTACCTCACATTACATCAAAAGCTGAAATACCCGGTAAAAGAGAAAATCGTCACAGTCTGTGGAGAGGAGGAGTTCATGATCAGTCATTTGAATTCTTTCAAATATGTTGAAATGGATGACTAATTCGTTGAAACCCTCTGCCAAGCATTTGAAATGGTCCCTCCAATGATTGTTGTTGCCAAGACCACTCCTGCCACTCCCAAAGCTGCTAAAGATACACCAAGAATGGCCTCTCTTAAGGATGCTTGTGCTGTTGTTGAAGACAAAGGTTGCACCATTTAGGGACAGCTTCTTGATATCCCCTACAAGTCGAACAAATTTGGATTGGGCTTCACTTTTAAAGCTCAGAAAGAGGTTCGACATGCTCGTGTTGGGAAACCACCTCTCTGTATTAGCAACAATGAAATTAATGCTCTGGGAGACTCTGATAGTGATAGTGACTTAGACGATTGGATCTACCCAACTATTGATGCCAGACTCAACAACTGGCAGACCAAAGACTTCATCTCAATCTCCTTCAGCCAGGAGTAATTGCCATTTCCTGTTTTTATTATTTTGAGAAATTTGTCTGTAATTTCCTCTAAACACAATGACTTTAAACCATGTGCCTTTTCTGGGGCACAATGGTCCATTTGTTAAGGGTTTGTCATTTTCATATGTCATATGCTTATTTTAATGAAAACATTAGACTATTTTGCATTCAAATTTTGCGCTCCTTTTCTTTCTTTACTTTACTGCATTTTCAAATAGTCATGTGACATTACATGACACACACACATTTGCAGATCCACATCCACTCTGGATCTCATTGACAACAATTTTACTATTGCCATCTATGACTTTGAAAATCAAATCTATCAAGCCGAAGACGATGGTGAAGAAGATTGTGAGATACCTGGGGAACTCGCCAGACTCCTGATACAAGAGGAAAAGGCCATTCAATCGCACAAAGAACCAGTTAAAGTGATAAACTTGGGTACTGAGGCTGATAAGAAAGAAGTCAAGATTGGCGCCAACCTGGAAGACAGTTGTCGCACGTGCAAATCAGAACTAAGAGAGACCGAAATTGCGACAGTGATGATATGTAAATAAATGTAGCGGTAAAGATTTGAGATTAATCCATCAATTGACTTATCTCAACACAATGAAGTTGCCACCGCACTTTATTGTTTCCAAAGGAAAATGGGAAAAAGGCGAACAAAACCCAAAAAAATCAGAGATCGAGGTACGGGGGTCGATTATGCAAAGGGAAGGTATTAACACCCTAGGCATCTACGGTACTCCGCAGGATCCACTTTGTTTAGTTTCTTTTAAAAGGAGTGTCATGTAAAGTTTACTTGCTAAAAGGGAAAGAATGAATGAGTATTTGTAAACAAAAGAAAATGAAATATTTTTTATTATTTTTGTTGCTCGCCTTTAGTCGAAAGACCTAGTGCCTACGTACTCCCTCGTGCAATGCGAAATTCAGAGCACCGTAGTTCGGCTGGAAAAGACTTGTCTGTTGATTATTTTTAAACAAGGAGATAAGTCGTTATTTTTAGGAGATAAATCTCGACTAACGCCCACAAGGTGTGGGAAAGATGGACCATGCGTCAGCAAGAGTGAGGGTTTGAGAACGACTCTAGCACTCAAGTGGAAAAGTAGACACCTTTATAACCATGAGGATAGGAGAATGTTGCTCTATTATCAATGAATCATGTCTCATCTTGAAAAAAGTTTTGAAAGGTAAAAGTGCTCGAGCGCACAAAAGAGTTTGAATGAGTTGAATTGTTTTTGTTAATTTTTGAAAGATGTCAAAGTATGGTTAAGTGAATTGAAGTTTGTTTAAAGAAAAGAAGTTTTAAAAGAAAAGGCACTCGACAAAGTCGAGGTTTATTATGAAAGCGGTTCGAGTTTATAAACAAAGAAGATTTTGAAAAATATGAGAAGGTTTTGAAAATTAAAGAATAGGAGAAGATGAAGAGAGTGTCCTATGTACAGGAGGGTAAAAGATACGGTAAAAAGGATCTGACCGAATAAGAAACCAGTACTTGACATGATGAAGTCAATACTATATTCCCTTCCCTTTGGATTTAAAGCCACAGATAGAAAAATAAGTTAAGAGTATACCAAACCTCAGGTGAAAATAAATCACAAGTTGACAGCATCAAAAAACCCAGATGTAAGATAATACTCCAAGCGACGAATAAAGCGCAATGAATCGTAAACGAGAGGTGCAACACGTGAAAATAAATCACGGATGAAGAAAGCATGGATAAAGCTCACGGTATAAGATTCCCTGCATCACATGAAATATACAGACAAAACTAACAGCACGGGAAAACTTACGTGCATCCGTACAATTTTCAGAAGTTAGTTGGAATTAAAATTAAAATCACAACACAATGAAAATAATATTTACATATCCTGAATTTATTTACAAATGAAGTGAATAGAATATACAGTCAAAATATTATGTACAAGTATATATTTACAGTACCAAATATTAAATCAGAATAGTAAAATACAATAAAAAGGTAAAAGGGAGAAGTGTAGAAATTGTGGACGCGCTATGCGGGAATGAGTACTTGAAACGATTATCAGAAAACTTCTCAGTAACAATCGCGTTAGTAGCATAAGCGGTATAAAAATAAAATAAAGGAAATTGAAACAATTAAAACATGTGTTAGTGAGTAAAAAATAAAAAATGAAATTGTATGAATGTACATGAATAAATGAATATTCACACAAATCAAAATCAAGAATTCATGAAATTATTCAATTCAAAATTGAACATGGAAAATTGATTCCGATTCAAGAATTATTCAATTAAATCAAATTTCGGGAATCCACTATATCTATGCATTAAACTCCATAATTCCAATTGAAACAAATTTCTAAACTAATGAGAAACATATTAATTATCAAAACTAAATTTAAATTCTCCAAAATTGACACAAAAAATGAACTAAAAATATCAACAATGCCCATTTTAACACAATTGTTTAAAAAACTCTACAATTCAACTGAAAGAAACACATCACATTAATTTCAATTCAAAAATATTAATTAGAAAGGAAAATGAGTCTACCAAAAAAAAAGGAGTGTTGTTGCTGTTTGAAATTGAAAGAGGGGAACATAGGAAGTTGGGAAAGGGAGTTGT